GAGCAGCCACTCATAAGGAAACAGAGGGGTAAGGCTATCAACAAAATGGGCGCTGCTCCAAAGAGAATGAAGGATGTTGACGAGGTGACGAATCGCCCTCTTCCTAATGGCGTGTGGGATCCATCTTTCAATCTTAGCCATAAGATTGATTTTAACTTGGACGACTATGAGAAGAAGGTTGTGGAAAGCATGACTGAACAACAAATGGCCGATGCGATGCTGGAACTTGCAAGTCGAGCAGCTATGGCCGCTTGGCACATGGCGTACGCATCCGATAGGGGCATTTTGAGGGTCGCAAAAGGCGCAGACCCAGCTAAAGGAACTGGCGGACATCCACTCTAACTGTGAACAGAGGCAAAAACAATTTGAGCAGTTATTGAGTGAGGCTCAAGCGCTGTTGAATAATGTTTAGACAGCCGGATTTGCGATGAAAAGAGAACGGGATCAGTTGCAGAGAGAACGAGACCAGTTGGCGACTGAGTCAGAGCAGTCAACCAAAACCGTGGCTGCTTTAACTAAAGATAGGGATGGCCTACTCCTTGCTGTTGCCGAGGAGAAAGAAATAAGAGAGGAAATGAGCGAAGCAATAGTTGTGGAACACCCTAGAGGGTTCAAGAAGGCTCTGAGGCAGGTCGCGCATCTTCTTCTAGTGTCCATTGAGGGAGTGGAATTTGATCTGAGAAAGGATGTATACGAAGGTCAATTGGTACCTTTAGCTGAGATCCTGAATGATGCTTTCATGGAACCTGAAGAAGGTGTTGATGTTGGAGTAGCTGCTGCTGAGGGACCTAATGCCGAAGCTACCGGAGGGTCTGTTGTTGGATCACCAGATGTTGTAATAGATTAGGCTGTAATGTGTTGGCGTGGCCATGAGCTCTTTGTACTTATTTGTTTGTTAGGAACAAACTTCATAAGCGTAGGATTTGGTTAATTTGACGTTTGACAAACGCCTTTGTCGCGCATGACTTGAGTATTCGTTGTTGTTTGTTATTAATATTTCGTGAATGGTAGACGTTCTAAGAGAATTTAATCTAGAGCTGTGGATGATCTTGTAGATTGAATGTTCTAGGTGTTATAGGGCGAACATCTACCAGTGGGAGTGTGTCCTTTTGATTAATGCACAAGGGTGTTCAAGGAAGAACATCTACCAGAGGGAGTGTATCCCTATGCGCCATGATCTGGGTGTTCTAGGGCGAACATCTACCAGGTCGATCGGCTTCCTAGCGTTTGTCCCTGGGACTTGAAACTTGTGTGTGATTATGTGGTGTCATAGGAGGGACCTGTTGGTCTGTTTGTTGAGAATAAAGTAGATGAGGAATGAAAAAACATTCATTATTGTAGGTAGAGAAATAATGTTTCATAAACATGGAAATGATAAATTTCAACTGAAATAATGTTTAAGGTGAGTGGCGTTCCAAGTGTTGGGGATGGTTTGCCCATTGAGAAGTTTGAGGTGATATGCCCCATTCATCAAGTCCTCTGCTATGCAGAACGATCCTTCCCAATTGGCTGCGAGTTTTCCATGCGCTCGATTTTTTCTTGCTTCTCCTCGTTTCCGCCATACAAGATCACCATTTTTGAAAGCTCTAGGCTTGACTTTAGTGTTGTATCTGCGGGAAAACATTCTTTTTTGAGCTGCTGCACGAACTGTGGCGACTTCTCGTCGCTCAGGTAGCATGTCGTGGTTCATTTGTAGCTGTTCATCGTTAAGGGTCGTGTCGGTGATGCTACGACTAAGTGATGACTCCCCGACCTCGACTGGAAGCATGGCGTCTGTGCCGTATGTCAAATTAAATGGAGTGTCCCCTGTGGATCCATGTGGGATGCATTTGTACGCCCATAGTACTTCTAGTAGTTCCTCCACCCATAAACCTTTAGCCTCGCCGAGTATTTTTTCAATTATCTGTGAGCAGAGCTTTGTTTGCGGCTTCTGCTTGTCCATTAGTGTGTGGATGTTCTACTGAGCTGGTCACATGCTTAATCCCCAGGTTTTTTGAGGAAATCTTCTAACATTTTTTCAATGAATTGCCTGCCGTTGTCCGTGATGATTTTTTGTGGCAGACCGAACCAGCATATTAGGTGCCAGATGAATTTCTGTACTCGTTGGGCGCTGATTATGGATAGTGGTTTGGCTTCTATCCATTTAGTGAAGTAGTCGACCGCCACCAGGAGAAATTTGTTCTGAGCTTTTGCGATCGGTAACGGTCCAACTATGTTTATTCCCCATTAGGCGAACGGCCATGGGGAGATGATGCCGTGCAATTCTTCAGGAGGGACGCGAAAATAATGACCATGCGCTTGACATGAGAGACATTTCTTGACGAATTTCTCACAATCTTGGTCGATCGTTGGCCAGTAATATCCTGCGCGTAGTACACGCGCTCTGAGCGTGCGTTTTCCTGAGTGAAAACCGTAGATCCCGGTATGGAGTTCACGCAGAACGTAATCTGCTTCGTCTACCGATATACACTTTAATAAGGGTGTGGTGTGGCCATGCCTGTATAGGTCGTCACCTATGTGTAGAAAACGAGCGATGCGTTTTAAGTCGCTTGCTGTGATTTTTTCTCCTCGCTCCTGCTTCATCATCAAGTCCTGTATGCTATGTCTCCAATCAGCTTCGTGTGTAGAAAAATAGGTGGCAAAAGTTTCCACGACTGGGTGGTCAAGTGTCATCTTGATGACGGAAGATAATTGTATTTTCTCTCTTGAGTGAGTTAACTTGGATAGGAGATCTACTCTTCCATTTTGTTCCCTAGGCACATGAATGATGCTGACATCGACAAAGTCTTTGAGGAGGGTGTTTGCTTTGTGAAAGTAGCGTAGTAATTGATTGTCTTTAACCTGGTAGGTTCCGTTCATATGACCGACCACCAATTGCGAATCCATCTTGCATTCTAATCGAGCGACTGTCAATTCTTTGGCTAGGATTAAACCAGCAATCAAGGCTTCATATTCTGCTTGGTTGTTGTTGGCTTGAAATCGGAATGTGATGGCTTGCTCGATGATTAGGCCATTTGGTCCTTCTAGCACAATAACAGTTCCCCCTCCTCTTTTGTTCGAGGATCCGTCCACGTTAAGGAGCCATATTGGCTCTAAGCTATCAGGTATGGCTGTTAGTTCGGCAGCAAAGTCTACCAGGTGTTGTCCTTTGATGGACCTTCAAGGTTCAAAACGTAGTCCGAACTCAGAAAGTTCTACTAACCATGAGACCATCCTTCCTACCAGCTCTGGTTTTCTGAGGATCTTGGCGACTGGGTGGTTAGTTCGGACGATCACTTGATGGCTCTAGAAATATGGTCGAAGTCGACGTGATGTCGTGAGTAGGGCCAATGCTACCTTTTCGATTTGGGAATACCGCTCCTCCGCCTCCTGTAACGTTCTGCTAACAAAATATATCAACTTAAGGATGGGGGTCTCCTATACCAAATCGACACTTACAGCATGATGGGATGCTGCGATGTACAACTGCAAGTCGAATCCTGCTACCGATCGTGCCATGATTGGAGGGCTGGTGAGAATGTTTTTAACAGCACCGAAGGCTTTTTCGCACTTATCGTCCCAATGTCGGGTGGTGCCTTTCTTCATGTTCTTCAAGATAGGCCTGATGTGTTCGGCCAACTTCGGAATGAAGCGTGATAACGTTGTCATTCGGCCAACTAGACGTTGTACCTCTTTCAGGTTTTGTGGGCTCTGCATTTCCAGTATGGCCCTACATTTGTCCAGGTTGGCCTCAATTCCCCTGCATGTTAGCCTAAAACCCAAAAACTTCCCAGCCGGCACGCCAAAGGTACATTTAGATGGGTTAAGTCTCATGTTATATCGTCGTATCTAGAGGAAAACTTCCGCCAAATCTTTGAGATGTTGTTCCACAGATTGACTTCGGATGACCATATCATCTACGTAGACGTCCATGCATTTTCCGATTTGATGGTAGAAGACTTTGTCCATAAGGCATTGGTAGGTGGCTCCTGCATTCTTCAGACTGAACGACATTACTTCACAAGAGTAATTTGCGCGTTCGGTAATGAAGGCTGTTTTATTCTGATCGGGTTCGTACATGGGGATTTGGTTGTACCCTGAATACGCATCAAGGAAGCTTAGTACAGTATGTCCTGAGGCTCCATCTACCAACCGATCAATGCTCAGAAGGTGATATGAATCTTTAAGGCATGCTTTGTTAAGGTCGGTGAAGTCCACGCACATTCTCCATTAGTCGTTCGGCTTTTTGACCATGACCACGTTCGACAACCACGTCGTGTAAGTTACTTCTCTGATAAATCGGGCGTTCATCAGTTTGTTGACTTCTGTTTGTATGGCCACTCGTTTTTCTTCCCCGAATCGCCGTTTCTCTTGAGCAACTGGATGTGCTTCCTTGAAGATTGACAGCTTATGTGTCATTACTCCCGGATGGATCCCTGGTATATCTGCGGCCACCCACGCAAATAGGTCGGCGTTGGTTTTTAGTATCTTTGTCAGATCATGTTCATCGTGCGACTCCAAGCCTTCACCGATGGTCGTGGTTTTCGATGCGTCTGCTCCCAGCTAGAATGTTTTGACGTCACCTTGTGGATGGAGATGCTCGTCTATATTGGTTCTGGGATCCAAGTCAATCGTAGTTGTTTCAGCTCTTCTGGCTCTTCTTGGTGGCATGAAAGGTGTGACCTTTAAACCGGCAACGTAACATTGTCGAGCCGTTTGCTGATCGGCCCTTACCGTACACATGATGCCTCTCTCTGTTGGGAACTTCATAGCTAGATGAGGGGTGGATACGATGGCTCCGAAAGCGTTCAAGCATGGTTGTCCTAGTAAGGCGTTATATGAAGTATTTGCCTCTACCAGTAAGAACCTGACTCTTAGCTCTCTTGCCTCCCTACCTGTTCCGAGTCGAGTTCTTAGGTCGAGGTATCCCCGAGTGTCAACTCTTTCCCCTACGAAGCCTACAATCTGCTCGTTGAAAGGGGCTATCAGGTCTTCGGATAAATCCATTTTCAGGAATGTGGTCAGTACAAGATATTGACTGAGCTGCCTTGATCAATGAGCACTTTCCTGACATCGTAACGGGCTATCTCAACGGTGATGACCATGGGGTCATCGTGATCAGGGCCAGGAGCGTGGAAGTTTGCATCTGTAAAAGTGATGTTGGGCATGGATCGAGGTTGTCGATCTACCATGTGCACCGCTTTTACATTTCTCAAGTGTCTTTTCCGAGCGAAGCCTCCAGATATGATGTGATTCGTCCTCGGACTGACCTCTCTCTTTCTGGGTGTCGGGGTTGGCTCCGGGATCGTCGTCTTCGTCGGTCGTCCCTATGAGGCGATCGTTCGGGACTTCTCCGCAAGGTTTCCTTCCTGCTGGGGTTGCTGCTCTGGTGGATGTTCTCTCCTTTATGTATTTTTGGAGGTACCCTGAACGGATGAGTCTTTCTATCTCATCTTTTACTATGTTACACTCTTCGGTGTCATGGCCAATGTTTAGATGAAGACGACATGCTTTACTTCCATCAGCATTCTTTGGAGTGGCCTTCCACCGAACGGTGAAGAGTTCTACGAGCAGTGCCTCTTCGAGTACCTTTGCTCTGGGTGCGTTGAGGGAAGTATAACGATCGTATTTGGGTGTCCATCCCGACTCCTTTCGAGGAGGTCTGTCAGCTTTATAGTCGTTGGACGACCGCTTCATATCTTTCTTGGTACCAATGTTAGGATTTTCTTGTTGTTGCCTTTTTCTGGAGTTTCTAAGGTCCTCAATGCGTATGAATTTCGCGATCGTTGCCTAGAGTTCTTCCATAGACTTTGGAGGATCTGCATACAACTGTTCAGCGAAGGTAGATTGTTTATTATAAACGTGTGATTCATGTCTTTTACGCGTCTGGTCGTCTCATTGTATCTCTGCATGAAAGCTTTCAAGGTTTCATCTTTCTCCTGTTTAGTGTTTACGAGCTCAGCCGGAGTCATCTCCGGTCTTCTGTTGGTAGCATACTGTTTTCGAGGGAGGGTGTGATACCACTCCAGTGCCTCATCTTTCAGGGATAACGAAAAAGCTCGGCAAATGACTAGATCATTGTCTGTGTAGAATGCCATGGCGTCTATAAAGTTTCGGAGATGGTTGTCTGGGTCTACTGAGCTATCGTATCTTTCTAATGTTGGAGGGGGTTTTTCTGGCATATTAGCTTGCATGATGGCTTCCGTAAATGGAAGTAGGTTGGTAAGCCGTAGAGAAGTGGGCCCCTTCCTTCCTTCTCCGATAGGTTCGGATGGTCCTCCATGGTGGCTTCCTTCATTATCGTCCTGTCTGTTGGAGCCCGAGATCTCCAGCGGAGGTCGTTGCGCTCCCAGCGCCGCAAGTTCCTCTGTTTGTTTACGCTGAATTTCCTATTGTTCTCGTATAGTCTTCGCCTGGGCCTCTATCTGTGCCTGAAGCTGCTTGATCAAGTCTCGAGTGTTATTCTCTTCCATGGCTCCTGTGGTCTTCCTTGGTTATGCTAAATCTCGGGCCCCACGGTGGGCACCAAAATGTTTCGGTATAATTGTTAGGACCGAGACACGAACCTGATCAATGACGTCTTCACCTTCTCACAATGCAGTTATCCTTATATCTTCCAGTTGCACAGGGCTCTTCGGGGAGAATGGAGTGGGTACCTGCAAAGGCACTCCGACGCTCAAGTCAGAAAAAGGAATGACCGAACCTTTTGGTTCAATAATCAAATTAATATTTTCTCTCTCTTTTTTCAATTATCAAAACGTACCTCTTTCCTTTAGGTTTCTCGTATTTAACCTAAAAGTAAGATGAACCGTTTACCTAAAAATCCGATTAGTTGGATAATCCAGTCACCTGATCGTGATCCTCGTCTTTGATACTTGGTTGGTTAGTTCAGTAACTTGCGCTTTCATGGTTAGACATTTGTAGCCGCTTCTTCCTTAGTTTATCCGGGTTAATTGACCTAGTCTGAATAAAGCTGACCGAGCATCTGTTGACTCTTAGCTTGACTGAGTTAATTTGACCCATACTCGTTGTTTGGTTTAAGTAATGAACGATCGCTATTAAGACGATCGATACTAGGGGCAGCATTGACGAGCGTATGGCATGACGATTGTCTCGCTGGCATTATCTTTTACGATATCGCGATTGTTTTCTAGGAGGTTGACGATCGTTCGGAAGTGATCGTTTGACTATTCGTTAATACCTAGCCTGTTTACTATTGCTAATCGTCCAGATAAAGACGATCGTTCAGTCGGTTGTTTGGTTTATTGTTGACAATAGCTCGACTTCAGATATTCTACCATAGACATAGTATGAGTAGTTATGGAGATTAACCATAAATTAGAGTTACAAGAGTTTATTTTAATATTCTTAGTGAGAAAACGGTGATAACAGTGATTTTGTGGAGAAGAAAAGTAGTGCATGTTTTAATTTTTGGGTTTAGGAGCTTTGTATTCCATATGAACATTGCAATTGTCGAATATGAAGCCATTAGCGATGCCTTGAAAGTTTCCAGTATTGTTAACAGTGACTTTGGTTCCTTGCACAGAACCTCTCCATTCTCCTGGGACGAGGATATATTCATTCCCTATGAACCCACTCTCAACAAACGCAATGATAGGTTTTGGGGGTTCTCCATGGACCTCGCGCTGAATCTCTGGAGTAGACCGTTCAAGCAAACTCTCTGTGAAAAAACCCGGAAACTTGAATTTGAATGGACCTCGAAACTTGACCGAAAGTCCATCTATTTTATGGCACTCAATGTTCACGTGAAAATTCAAGTCCATTTTAATACCTTGAGAATATGAATGCCTAACCTTCCAAGTCATTGTATTCACTCCGGGAGGCGTCACAGAATAGAAAGAAACTCTCTTCTGACAGAATATAGTGAAGAAACTTACATTGCCGCCGTCA